GCTGCAGCGAGAACTGCTCTTCGCCGCCGCACTCGTGCACACGCATCTTCAGGAACGACTCCAACTACACACATACAAACACTAATAAAGAAATTACGAAAAGCAGTCACTTTAAAAACACTCATAACTTAATCTTACTATTTTAAATGCGAAAGTCTAGATGGATGGACATTTGTTAGAAGCTATATATATCTAAATAACGGATGAAAATGTAAAAAATAATTTACTTAAAATCCAACAATCATGTATACACGGTAATAGAAAAATATGGTTTTTTTATATGTAGGGATCTCGATGAAATTTAGTTTAAAATGTAAAGAATCGGGAAGAATACATAGGCTATATAAATTATAACACGGCTAAACTCACGTGAGTTTAGCCGTGTTATAATTTATATAGTATAATGCCTCACGAAACTTTTAATAAGTTGATACATAGGCTATTTATTTTTAATTCCGCGCAAACGGAGTCGCATTCGACAGTAAATAAGTACTTATTTTTCCAGACTATTTTCTATATCTATGTCAAATTTAATGGAAATCCGTTAAGCTATTCTGGGGATATCTTCCATCTATACATCCATCCAAAATTTCTCATCTATAACTTTAATTAAACAGTTTTAAGCAGCTAAAATAAATGACTTACAGTCAGTTCCGACAATTTTAACTGTTCAGTTTGACTGCCCAGTTAAAATTGTCACTTATAAATGCCATTATGGGTCCCTTAACAAACAAATGTAGCAATAAATTAAGTCATTTTACTAACCTCGAGCAGTTGTTCCACAAGTTGATTGCTCGTGGTAGGGTTGTCCAGGAGTGTGAGAGCCTCCCTGCCCGTGGCCACCCCGCCCTGCAGCCCCGCCTCCTCCACCACTATCCCTGACTCCTCCAGGGAGATGGAGGCTACCTCTGCTGACACATCCTGATACAAATTGATTCTTATGATACCAGGATAATGGAAAACATTTTAGTAAAGATAACATTTGGAAGCAATTTCTTGCTTTGTTAAAAAAAATATTACAAAAAACAATAATAAATGATTTCACTAAAGTTGCCAATAGTAAACATTTATATTGGTGAATAATTTTAATCTTAATAATAAAATGCGATAGTTTAGATGGATGGAAGTTTGATAGAGTTTGTAGCCTAATTGGCTTAACGGATCGCGACGAAATTTGAGATAGACATAGTGGATAGATTGGTAGAACACATAGGCTATTCACTTTTGTTTTTTCTTTAATTCCAAGGACGGAGTCGCGGGCGAAAGCTAGTTGCTTAATAATTTCAATTGAAAAAACTACTTATAGGAAAGAAAAGTAAAAATTTCTAAACATATTTAGGGCAATTGAATCTTTTACTAGGAATCATTCTTGAAAAATATTTACTCATGGCAATACTTAATTTTTTTTTTATAAAAAATACTCACAACATCAGTTGGTGCAACATCAATATTACCCCAGTCGATCTCCCCGCCTGCATCTCCCTCACCAAAGTCGATAGCTGACGTATCAATCTCACCAAAATCTATACCACCATCACCAAAATCTATCTATAACAAGATTTGTACACATTATTACTATAAACTAAGGTGAAATACAATAATTATGCTTGGTTCACACTTGGCACATAGAGTTGGTCAGTCACACAATAACTGGACTGGTATTTAACTGGCATGTGAACACTAATTGGAGCAAGTGAGTCCATACAATCTTGACCTGCTCTACTATCCAAGCATAAACCACACATTAAAACATCCAATGTTTTTAAATCTCATATGTAATTAGATTAATAAAATGGTTACTAAGTAAACCCTTATAGCCTTATAAATAAACTTATAATATATGCATTTTGCTTATACTCAGTTTATTACTAAATAACTTTATACCACATTTATTTGTAAGGCTGTTAGTGATTTATAGTTTTAAATAAAATTCCTAATACTGACAAAATGATGGGGACATAAACCAGAAAGTGTTAAGATTGAATGTGGATGGCTACAAAGGAAGAGGAAGACCGAAAAAATTATGGATGTATTGTGTGAAAGAGGATATGCTTAAGGAAGAAGTGGATTCAGATATGACGGCTGATAGAGTATGGAAGAGCAGCACATACTGTGCCGACCCTTCGTAAGGGATATGGGCAAGTGGATGATGATGATAAAATTCCTAACACTCCCTTATTCATGGTAAAAAAAAGCACTGATACAGGTAAATCTGACACTGCTGTCAGTTTTCACTGAACATATTTTTTTTTTCTAAAACTTCAAACATTAATCAAAATACCTGATCTCCAGCTGCCTTGTCATCTTCCACTTCTATATGTATAGGATCCAATTCAATCCTTAGCGGAGCTTCACCATACTTCCATTCATATACAGTGGTATTACCATGTTCTACCACATATTGCAGTAATGGCAACACTTGTGGTGCTTGATCACCAAGTACATATTTAGTAAAAGCTGAATATAACTCTATAGCTGGAAGTATTGGATTCAATGATTTGCCTATCTGTAACAGAAATAACAAATTTATACTATTATAATAAAGTGTAAACACACACTTCTTTGGTGCCTAAGATGTCAGCAATTACAGCATATTTTTGAATAATCCTTTTTTAATAAAAAACCCTACACTTACATTACTCTTTAGGCTATATATTTTAAAGTTATGGGGTCAATATTTTGGATAGAAACCCTAATATGAGAAAAAGACCATAAGTTGCTGCCAACATCAAGGAAGCAAGATTGTCATAGTTTGTCATCATGTCATGTCATTTTGACATTTGCAATTGATAATTTGACAAATTTAAACAATAAAATATAGTTTTTTCTAATTTTATGAGGATGAAGCCGCACAGGAACAGCTAGTTATGAGATACAGCAAAGCCACCTTTTTGTCAAACCTCAAAAATTCACCTTTTTCAACAAAGTATTGTTTTGTCACCTTGTTTAATAAATTATTGTACTATCACCTTTTTCAATAAAGTATTGCATTGTCACCTTTCTCAATAAAGTATTGATTGTCATCTTTTTCAATAAAGAATTGCATTGTCACCCCTCTCTACAATGTATTCACTCTTTCTCTCTTATTTTCATACACTTATTTTGGCAGTGTTAGTTAAACAAAGAAATCTTATATTTAATGTTGGCAATGCTGATTTTTTAAAATGTTGCAAATGATGTATCTCACCTCATCATATATTTCCGGTAACTCTTGTAACCTCTCAACTAATTCCTTTTTAATTTTATTGCCCTCGATTCCTAATTGTTTGCATAGAGTTAAAAATTCAGATTTGCTTGAAGCTTCGTTTTTCAAATATTCTGTGTGCTTTTTCTCACAATCCTGAAAATCAAATAACATACATACTAATATTATAAATGTGAAATTTTAGATGGATGGATGAAGAACTTAATTCAAAGAGGACAAAATCATGGCAACAGTATACAAGATAGTATAACATAAGAGTATTAAAATGTATGGTTTTAACAAGGATTTTAACACATTTGGTGCTAAAACTTGCATGATAAGTTTACTTTTATTCAAAAAACTGTGCTTTGCAATGTGGTAAAGTAAAAAAAAATTACCCACCAGTTGTATTTGCTCCTCTTTTGCAATTTGTTTCTTCAAACCAGGTATTTCATAGTTGATATTCCTAACTAGCATTTGTGCCGCTTCAGCTAAATATAAGTTTTCTTTTTCATAACTTTTAATCACATCCAACCAGTCTTTCATTCTTTGTGATCCATATCTACCAAATATGTTTTTCGTATCCGCCTCAGTTTGCTTTAAAATCTCGATGATTTTTAAGCAATGAAAATAATGAATGTAGCTACCAGATAGTAAAGTTGCGATATCGTCATGTACTGGCATGTCTTGAATTGCATTATTAATTTTTTCTCGCACAGCTATTATGTTTTTTTGCCATTCTTTATTCACATGTCGACGACTTATCAGCCAGTCTTGAAGCTTTCCTATATTTATATCGATAGGAATATTACTTTCCTGAAACGAAATTTAAATTTAAAACATATTTCGCTATAAACATCTGATTTTTGTTGACTAGTTTTATATTTCACAGTAAATATACTTACATCCATTATGTCCGCTATTTAATTTTCTATGCTAATTTTATTTAATAGAATACCATTAATATTAATAAATTCGTACTATTAACAATATAATTTTCTTTTTTGTTACGACTTTCCAAAACTTGAACTTGCCATATGACGTGTCAACTGATGTCAACAACAAATAGTTGTCAAAATTGACAAATGTACCAAATGTTACCTAACTAATTTATTTATTTTGTCTTCATTATAAAAGACTTCTAATGACAACACTTATGCTCATTGACCTCGATTGATAAGAAATTGTAAACAAAATAAAAACCAATTTCTTATCACAGGGAATAACTATTAGTCGATAACTATAGTAATTACGTGTGTGTTAAATGTAATTAATGTAGTTCTAAGCTTATAGAATCTTTTTATTTTTTAAAAGTTTTATTATTTTCACTTGAAATGTACTTATGCGATAGTTTATCTTGTTTTCCAATAAGCTTCTTATAAATATGGAAGATAGTTCGACAAATCAGTAAGTTTTTCAATAAAATAGTGTACAGTGAAATAAAAATTTTAGCATTAAATATATTTTGGGAACGGGGGCGTAACTACATGAATACAATAATACCTTCTTCTATACATATAGTAGAATTAGATATCTCTCTATATTGAATTAATAGCATTTTAGTTGGTTAACATAGCGTTATAATTTATATACAATTTTAAAAGCAAGAAAAGAAATAGTTTTCGTCGGTCGCACCAAATGTTTGTGTCGCTTCTTGTCAAATAATAAAAAATTAACAGTTTTTCTAACAGGCAACAGTGTAATGTTTTTAAAATGTCATCAGTTTTTGGACTGAAGTTTCGTACATTTCTTTTCTTTTTTAATTAATGCGACGATCAATTCAATTTTCAATTGAAGTTAAAGGGAATAAAGTGCTTTTTGAGGTTTTTATTAATTAATATTAAGATTCGTGCAAATTTTCCAAAGGCCTGTATGAAAATACCTAACTATAATCTGAGAAGGTATTGTGGAAGTTTACCAATAGATTCAAATTACTTATTGGACGTGTTATCCTTGTAGTTTTGCAAGTTCTACAAGATACGACGAAGGAGTTGAAGAAGTGAATTGGACTGATGATGTTATCGTAGATTCTGTAACAATGGCGCAGGCATCCATACCTCCGGATCTTATTGTGTATGTTTTTTTTTCGATATTGGACATGCAAAATAAGATAAAAGTAATATTTAAATAAAGTAAAAGGTCTTGATCTATTAGCAATGTTGTTTAGCAGACACATAAATATGTATAACAGATTAATTATCTTTTTTGTGTTCTTAAACATGTTATACTTACAGACAAGATCTTAAATGAAAATCAAGTCGTTCTTTAAATTTCGTGAAAATTTATTCATGACATATGTTTAAGTGTGCGGAAGAAATAATACAAAATTACAGGATGCTTTAAGTGATTTATTTCAATTTATGTTTCAGGTCAGCAGATGGGGGTGTTGATGATGATGATACAAGGCTAACTCTAGCTTATGAGAACCTCTATGAAGTGCCACGAACAATTGTTGAAAGATTTTCAGATCACATTAAATATCTGGATATCAGTCATAATAAAATTACGTAAGATTTATTTCATTATTACAGTCAGTAATGCATTTTAATGGTGTTAGAGTCTTTGAATATTGTCTGGTAGACTAAAAAACTATTTTTAAATTTATCTATTACTAATGTATAATGTTTCCCCTCTTACAGTAATTTAGATGCAGTAGTACACTTTAAGCATCTGACATCTCTGATAGCAGACACAAATCCAATCACAGAGAACTGTGTGCTGCCTCCACTGCCTAAGCTGCAACTTCTATGGTAAATCATACTCCATGCTAAAATTGAGATGGGTGGATGTTTGTTTATGTATCACTACAAAAGCTTAATTAAAAACACATAGGCTACTTAGTTGTTTTTTAATTCTATATGGTTGTAGTTGTGGGCAATAGCTTATGCATAAATAAACCATCTAATTGACTTATGTTTTGGTAAAAGTAATACCAGTTCTAGAAAAAAAATTAAAACATTTGATTATAGCTGTTGCTTGCTACTTCCCTTGAAATTAAAAAAAAATAATATAAGATGTAGGCTATGTTACTCACATATAGACCTTTGAAATTGGCCCAATAGTTTTTGAGATATTACAATATGTACAAAAATGCAAATCTTTCCTCTTTATAATATTAGTATAGAAAACTGTGACAATGAGTTTTATAGGAATTATGTCATTTAATTTTAGGTTGAACCATTGTAAAATATCATCACTGTACCCATGGGCCGGCAAACTGAAGGAATCCTGCCCCAACCTGGAGTACCTCAGTCTAATGGGCAACCCAGCTGCACCAAGTTACTTCAATGGAGGAACATTCTATGAATACCTTCAGTATAGGTATGTGATTTATTAAATAGCTATAATACATTGTTCCTTATGTACTAGAAATGTTAGAAAAAACTACACCAAAAGTCCACTAGTCTTGGGTTTTTAATACTGATAACAGTGGTAGAGCCCGCTTTAACATCTTTGCATGAATGGGTCGGCTCGCCCGGTGTAGCAAAACCACACAGGAGACAGGCGTGAAGTGGAAGCTATTCTGCATTTTGTCCTATGAGTGTGGTACTGGAGGCCCAACTTTAGTCCCTTCTGACCCTTTTTTCTTATACAAAAAGAGTTCGAAGGGAACATGAATTTGTCAGTGCAGACGCATATGAGTGGGAAATATGCTTTTTGTTGCGTATCCTACTCCTAAATAGGATAATGGTGAAGTTTTTTCTTTCCAGATTATTCCTAATCTCGAAGTTTCCCTCATTAAGCCACTTGGATGATAGAAGAGTAACAGAAGATGAAATAGCAGAAGCCAATCGTCTCTACAAAAGACCGTTGGTAGAAAGACTGGTCAGACCAGGGTCAGGTGGACTGAACCAGTTCATCCATAGCTCGGTATCATGGAATGCTTTCCAAAATAGAATAAGCTCGCTCTGGACTAAGGATAAACAAGGATCCAAAAATCTGCTTATTTGACAACTCAATCTAAGGTAAATGTGATCTCAAATGAATACAATAATTCACTATTTTTTGCTTTGTTGAAGACATTTTTGAAGTTTACTTACTTAAACATTTATGTAAATTGATAGAGAGTTTTATGGTCTTTGTTGCTGTTATATTTCGGAAAATTTACTGTCTTAGGATTTTCTACCATACCTTATTTCTTGTTTGTTCTAGGCTAGGAAATAAGTTGAGTACTAACTAATTTAGTAGCTTAATATCTGAACAAAGAATATTTATCGGAGTAGATTAGCAAATTAGTTTAGTTTAGTCAAGTTTTGTTTCTATTTTCCCAGCATTATTAACTTGCTACACAAGTTCGAACCTCTCATTTTAGTCGGAGTATTAGTAAACACAGAACTGACTCCACTCACTTGAGTAGTACAAGTATTGCGAATTTTGAGCAGTAGAGAGTATATTAGCTACTAAATTACTCTGTATTCAACTAAGTTACAGTCTTATTAAGATATTTCTATCGCAATATCTAAAAGTTATATATATGTTATATGTCTTGTTGGCTCGAAACATACAAGATGCTGCTAAACACAATGTTGGTAATATAACATATATGGATACATGTAAAACATTAAACTGTCAAAAATAAACTCAACATTAATATAGTTTGTCTCTCGGACACATGACATCATATAAAATCCAAAAGAGTTGAAAGAACAAAATTAACGAAAACTGCAATCCTCCGATCTAAGAAAAAAAAAAACTAAAACACAAGCGAAATATTAAATTCCGTATCTACAAGGTATCGTAATAACTTTCCCACTTGTAGACAAACATTCAATGATCTACCATTTTTATCTTTTGCCGAGGCATCAAACACCGGTCGCAGTTTAGTTGTTAAACTAGTCTCCTTGGATACTGCTCTGTGAAGTAAGTAATGTACGTCATCCTTCTTACAATTTTGTAAGGGACAGCCTCAATAATAACAGGGACAGTCTCCTTGAAACTCTTCAAGATCTCTTCTTTTTCCTGTTTGGACTGTACGTGCTGTGTCATTAATGCCTAAAATCTCAAGATTCCAAAAATCTGATATACTCTGTAAACAAAATGAAGTTGTGACGTCATTGGCGTTTATTGTATTATCTTGCACTTTACCTTGTAATGTCCAACCGAAATTCCTCTTAAACGCTGTTAAACCATTCCCAAGCTGTACCAAATTGTTAGTGAGCAATAAAGCCGAATAATCAGCACCGATCAAGAGACCTATGTCTGCATTTATATCTACATCTGTCAATTCGATGCGGTTCTGTTTTAATACATTAAGAACGTGCTTATTATTTACATTAATATTAGGTACATTTGTACAAATAGTCGCCTGTCTTAAAGCTGTCATATTAATTTTAAACAATTTGTCAATACTTTCTATGTCTAAATTATAACTATTATACTTTTTAAAAGACATTGTATTACCTCCAAAAGGCGTGTGTGTAATACCTTCACTATGAGTTGGATTCAAATTTAGTTTATTTACCACATCCTCTTTAATATAAGAGTGTTGCGAGCCATTGTCAAATAATGCTCTGACATTCACATATGACGTACATTGACAGCAACTGTCTGAAGTAATGTCATGGTTCCTATAGCTGTTCGAGTCGCATAATTCTGAATTGACGTAGGTTTGTCCGCTTGTTTGTGGCCAGTACCAGTACATAGTACTGAGAAATGTTTCTGGCCGCATACAAAACATTTTATATGGCTTCATCATTCATAAGATATTTGAAAAGACTTATACTGTTTGCTGTTTTGATCTTTGGTGCTGTTTGCCTTTTAATTTAATTACTAAAGTTTACTAGTGTAAAGATATGTTACAATATCTAGTTAGTTAAGTAGGGAGTTTCAATTATATTAGAGATGGTTTCCGTAGATAAAATTCAGTGAAAATCTATAGTTGACTAATAAAAGGCAATAACTTTATGATTATAGCTCTTCTAGTAATATAGATATCGATTTTAATAATGAATTTAAATATTATTAATAGTTTAACCTTAAGGTTTTATTATTATTCAAGTTTGTGATAATTGTATTGATTAGATTTCTCATTAAATGCTTTTATTGAGGCATTTTGTTCATTAAATTAAACCATTATTTTTTAAATGTTATTTGTTAAAACTTTCTGTATAATCTATATAAAAATTGAAGAAAATTTGACACTTGAACCCTATGACGTCATAGTTTTTGACTGCATATAAAATAGGTTAGGAAATACGCCTAGTGATATTTTTCGTAATATTTTGTTTTCGTAAATTAATTATATTAGATAAAGAATGATGCGTTATATCACGTTTTTATCGATACAGGTTAAGTAAATTATCACAATAATTGTGCCACTTTTTGTTATGTAAATATGTTATTTGTGATTGAATCATAGACAATAATTATTATGGGTTGTAATTTGCAATATGTCTTTTTAATTAAATGATATTGTTAAGTAACTAATTGTTTCATTTACCTGTTTTAAAAAAAATCAAGTTAAAATAAATGAATAAAGAACTTGTAAATAATAATTTGGAAAATCAGGTTTATTTATGTAACTTGTCTGTGCATGGCAATGTCAAATTAAGGAATAATAAATATTTTTTTAGGTTTTTAATTATATTGACGTAGAAAAGAAAACAAACATTAATAACAATAAATGTTTTATTATATTTTTAAAACTTATAAATTATGAAACGATTTTATTATTCACAACATTAAATATGTTACCGCTTTAACAATAGTTATTTATATTTCAGTCTATACAACATTTGAATTATTTAAAAAAAAACACTAGACCATAGAGTATAAGTCCATAAACGTTTGACAAGAGTGACAATAAAATTTAATTTTAATTAATCATACAACTCAAGTATGGGTCTTTTCCAAGCTGTTAAATCCACAAAAGGTATAGCATCATAATCCGTGCAACTGTATTTCGGATTATGAGTAGATTCCATCTCGAATGCTTTCCTCTGCACGTAATAAACGCCATCCGTGTTGTCACAGATCAACCGCGCCATAGACGCTTTCTTTATTTCTTTTAGTTGTTCTGTGGACAAACATTTTATATAAAAATTTAGAATGTTTCCTCTCTTCTAATATTGTTTAAAAATTTAAAAATGTAAAGTATAGAAAGCCTTTTGAAATTAATAAAAAAAAAATAAATTCGGCTCGAAGGACTATGGAATGTTTTGCACTGTCTGTATTAAAAGATAACTAAATTTAAAAAAAAATGTTAATAAATTAAGAAAAAATATATAAAGGAAAGGAAAAATAATTATTTGTTCTTTTTGTCAAGATACAATAAATTCCAGAATGTACGGTCGATATGTCTGGTGACTTAACTTTACTGATACGGAACATTTTATATTTTTTAAGACTTACCAGGTGTAAACGAATGCGGCATTTCCCCATTATCATAAAAGAATCTATCACCAATCCTTGTCCTGTAGAATTGTTCAGCTACAATGCATTGGAAGGTTGGCCCCAGGATCGACCCCTTGACACCCTTCTCCATAATGCCACCAACAAATAAGTCTATATCATCTACGGACTCATAGACTCGGGAGAGTGCATTTATACGCTATGGAACAAAAAGAAGAGTTTTTTTTTAATATTGTACATCTGTACCTTTTAGAATCATTCATAACCAGCAATTTTTATTAAAATATTTATCAAAACAATGTAAAACTTACATCTTGTGGTATTTCTCCTGATAGATCTTGGAAATTGTTTGCTCTTTTCAAGCCGCACGTCTCTCTATGAAAAAAAAATGCGATATAATATTTTGTCAAAGACAAACGATATTTTTTCCCATTTCTGTATAATTAAGTCTTTCTAAAAAGATTTTTTCGGGTCTAAAATTAGAGTAAATTTTAGGGTCTAAATTTGCTTCGATTAATAGGAAATGTACATACCTGTAATCATTGTATGAAGCCAATCCATGATCCCTCCCCCTTTGTATATCCATAGCGATGAGATCCATCCCCCACTGGTTGTTCAACTTGAACAGCAAGTTGGTGATCTCCCGCGTGCAGTACGCGTCAGACTCCGCTGAGCTCTGCATGAGGATACCTCGCACTATGTCGTCCAACGACTCTGTGGTAGATTCCACTAGCGCAGGGTTGAAGTAGTGGTCGCTTAGTCTGGAATGCGTATTATTGCTAAATAGCATGGATGTCGTCAGTCGATGATTTAGGTCTAAAGGAAGACAGCTGTAACAGTGTTTGTTTTTTTTTTTTACGTTTTTCTAGTCTCTAGAGTGGACTACCACCCTTGGTTGTTTGCTAGATGTCGTCCATGATATCAAATCCTTAAAATAAAAACATCTGAGTGGCTAATGTGCTATTCCAAACAGTATAGAGTAATTAAAAAAAAATCCTAGACGAATCTGATAATTTTTTCTATAGCATAGAAGA